GTTTTTGTGTGGTGGGGTGGGTGGGGGGGGGGGGGGGGGGAATGGCTTGTACTAGTGTTTACTAAAAGGCTTTGAACAATACCACTGATGCATACAGTGTCCGGAGGTAGTCTAAAGGAGGAGAAAGGATGATTGCATGATTTCATGAGCTCATGCAGCAGCTTCTTGTTAGTCCTGATTTCAGAACCCTGGACTAAGAGTGCACTAGAGAATAAGAAACTATGTGTCAGATGACGTCATGATTTATTTCCCTCCCAACCAAATGATTGTCGTGGAATCTCCTATCACTTTGTCTCTATATCGCAATCAGAATTGAGCAGTTCTAACTTCTTGCACGCACACACACACACATCATAGAATATTGTTCATGAATATCAGCCTAGAGAAGAGATATCATTTTCCTTGACAGGGTGTTTATCATAAACTAATTATTCATTAAAAAATGTTGGAGATTTGTACTTGGAATCATATTTTAACTTCACTTGAGATTTCTCCTATTTAAGGAAATTGTGGAGAAAAATTTGAAGTTAAGAGTGTCTCAGCAGGTCCAGCAGGTGGTGTCATGGTTAAGGTGCTGGACTCCCACGAAGTCGACCATGGTTTGAGTTCCAGACCCCGTGACTTGAAATGGGTGCATGTACTTGCATGCCCCAAATCCCAAGAGGAGAATGAAGGAGGGTCAATTATGGTATGGCCACCCCAGAGGGGTGATTTTTTACTTTTTGTCTGTCTCTCTGGTGAGTGCATGTACCCTATAGCAAAAATAAAAAGAGTGACTCAGCAAGCACTGCTCTGAGTAGCAAATGATCTGTTTTGTAAGTATACAGTTTTGTATCTTGATTTTTCTTAAACTGGAACATATCTATGTTTGCACAAGACTATTAGAACTGTACAAGACTTTCGAAACCGTCCATTCTAAATACCCATCTTAAAATTTTTTTTAGAAAAGAAATTGAGACCTTTAAATTTTGAATGATTTATCTCAAATCAAATAGCAGGGTAGTGACTAAACCATAAGACTTTTACCTTTTGTTCTAGCAGGTATTTTCTTTAAGCTACAGTGTATTGTCTTCCTTAACAAGAAACTTTTCTTTTTTTTTTTTTTTTTTTTTGTCATAGGGGGTATGTGCTCACAGGAGAGAGTAAGAGAGAGGGAAAGGGAAAAATCACACACACACACACACACACACACACACACCAGTGAGAATGGCTCTCCTCCTCCATTCTCCTTTTGGGATTTTGGGCATGCATGCACATGCACCTGGCATGTTTTTTCAAGCTGCTGGGTCCAGGAGTTGAACTATGGAGCCAGCCACATGGGATCCAGCCATCTTAACCACCATACCATCTACTGACCCAACAAAAAACTTTTTTTAAAGTCGCAAGTCTAAGTAGAAGTAAGCTCAATGAGAAGTATTAATTAGGATAGCAAAATGATGTTGCTTGCAAAGGGTTCCAATAGTCTGACAGACACTCTTGTCCACATCTGCTGGGACACTGTGTGGAGCACAGGACTCCAGCCTATTGTGCTGGCATTGTCCTTAGAGTACAAGAAATCCAGAAATGAAATGTGGTTGTTTTCCCTCTTTGCCAGAAAGTATGTGTGCTTGCCAGAAAGAGCGGGAGAGAAAGAGAGAGGGAAAGAAAGAGAGAGAGAGAACAGAGAGAGGAAGTACCCTCCAATAGGGATTGGTCACATCACAATCTCTTTTCTATTTTCCCATCCTGTCAAATTTGGGGCAGGCACACACATGTACCCAGGGGGTTTTTCAAGCTGCCTCAGTCAATCATGTGGGATCCCTTTACCACCAAGCCACGGGGCCATCATGAAATATTTTTTTCCATTGGTTCCAACCTACCTACTTCCTGTTTGTTCTGTAATATGGTAGAATGAGAGATTGTGAAGCCCTTTGGTGTAAGCTCCTTTCTGATCTGTAGATTAATGAGCAGAAGTCTCCAGAAGCCAGGTTGCTAGTGTGAACACACACTGAAGGTCGGACATCTTATTCCCCTTGACTTTCTAATATCACAGGAATTCTCTCTATGGCAACTCAACAGGCTGATCTTAAATAGTTTTGGGGTTCAACTGAAGTTCAGCCTAGTTAACTGGACTTTATATTTGTATAGTGTTTACACTTGACCAGAGGCTTTTACTTTTATAGTCTCAACTGGCAGTGCTTAATATATAAAATGTGGTTTTCAACTTTTGCCCTTTGACAAAGACGCTGTTCCATAGGCTGGTGTTCTTTTCTTTTCATTTTTTTGGAGAGGTTTTCGCTATAGGGCGTGTGTGCTCACCAGACAGACAGAGAGAGACAGAGAGACAGAAAGTGAGAAATCACCCCCCAGGGAGGATGGTCATGCCTCAATCCCTTCTCCTCCATTCTCCTCTCAGGATCTTGGGCACGCACGCACATGTGCCCAGCGTGAGTTTTAAGCCACCGGGTCCGGGACGCGAACCGCAGTCGACTACATAGGAGTCCAGCGATATAGCCACTACGCTAACTGCCGGTTCCAATTCAAGCACTATTTTAACTCACAAATGAGAAGTGTTTTCTCCCAAGATCTCAGAGATGAAGAAGGACGTTACTTCCTCTAGTCCATTTGACTGGCTGAATTACAGTTATTTGGGCTACACATGGTACCTCCTACACTGTCCCCTAAAACTTAATCTTTCACTTTTCATCACCTGTCACAGATGTGCCAGTCCCAGGAAATGTCCAAGCAGGATTACAGGGAGGAAGGCCAACTACAGGAGGGCAGGGCAGCGCATCCAGCTACATATTTCCTGGCCCAGTGGGGCAGTGTAGGCTCCTGGCCCCTGTGGACAGGATGGGCTGCGAGCAGGGTTCTGGAAGGAAAGGAAGAAAACAGCCCGGGACAGTCCCTGGGCCTCGGTAGGCACAGGCACAGGCACAGGCACGGGCCCTTTCTGAGCAGCGTGACTGCTGGTCTGATTGCCATTTTGCAGATGAGGCATTCCCAGAGTCACTTGCCAAGTAAAGCATCCCCTTGAAGCAAACAGTGTTCAGTGTTCTAGATTTACAGATGGCAAATCCCGTATGAGGTTACGAGATATACTCCCAGGGCATTTAAATAGGATTAGAGTTATGCAATTAATTTGCAGAGTCTGCCAATTCTTTGCATAAGGGAGGTACATCATTTCTCTGACCAAGGTCCTCAGGGCATTTGGAGGTGACAATAACCCAGCTGTCGGTGGGATACTCTTTCCATGAAGGCTGACCATGCTGCCTGGGACTCCCGAGGATGCTTTCATGAAACAACTTCCAGAGGTGGCTGTCTGGTCTGGTCTGGGTCTCTTCTCTTTTCCATTTCATTTCTACGTTGCAGTCTTGTAGGTAAGGTAACTTTTTCTTTTCTCTATCTCATTTTGGGAAGGACAAATAACCCCAAAGAAATAACAGAGGCATAGGGAGATGAGCACAGCAGGTTAGGGGCAATGCCCAACGGAGAGTTTTTCTTTTCTTTTTAAAGATTTTTTAAAAAATTTAATTCCACTTGTCGTTATTTTTTAATTTGTCCAGAGAGAGACAAAGAGAGAGAGAAAGGGAAAGGGAGAAAGCAAGCTGCTAGGTCCGAGACTTGAACCATGGTTGGCCATGTGGGAATCCAACACCTTTAACTGCCATGGCACCTACCCGGCCCCAAGAGTTTTTCAATGTCCGACTGAAAATATTTTCTTTACACTGCACCAGTAGTTCAGCTTTTTTTTTTTTTTAAATAACAATTATTTTATTTAATTTTATTTATTGTTATTAACTTTTAATATTTCCAGAGAGAGACGCATACACAGAGAGAGAGAGAGGGAAAGTGAGAAAGCAAGCCTTTAGGTCTGGGACTTGAGCCACGGTCCACCATGTGAGAGTCCTGCGCCCTTAACCGCCACATCACTACCAGTACCACTAGTTCAGCTTTTAAAACACCAATGCCCAGATCAAGGCCTGGCCATCAATTTTTTTCTTTTCTTTTCTTTTCTTTTTTTTTTTTTTAAGGTTTTTGCCATAGGGCATCTGAGCTGCTAGGGAGAAACAGAAAGAGGGAAAGCAAGAAATGGTCTGGTATTTGGGGCACACATGTATATGCGTCAGGTATGATTTTCAAGCTGCCAGAACGGGGACTCAAACCATAGGCCATGTGGGTGCCTTAACCACCATGCCACCTACTGGTCCCTCTTTTAAAAATCTTTTTAGGTGGAGACCAG